ACGCGAACAAAAGCAAGTCAGAATCAAAGAAGAAAGGAAAGGGGAAGGGCAATACCTTGGGCTCAAAGAAAACTCAAAACTCGGCCACCCAAAAGCAAAGGGCAAGTCGTTCTGATGAAGAAATCAGTAAGCTCCCTAAAGAGGAACAAGATAAAGCCTCTCTGAAGATCGAAAATGGGGACTCGGTCAAAGGAAAGCGTTGGACATCTGCCGAGAAAAAGAATGCGATCGATCATATCACGAGTGCAGAGGTATGGCCTGACCATAAGGAAAATATGCCACATATAGTAAAGCATGTAAGTCTCCAATCATCCTGCATGGCTTGTCTGACGTGTCACAGATTGCCGAGGTCATTCTCAAAGGCAGTCAGTCAAAGGACCAAGTACGATCCTGGTGGCTTCGCACTTTCAAGAAATATCAGGAAATAAAACTCCAAATGAAGCATACTGGTGGAGGCGATGGTGATCAAGCAGATCAGTCTGAGAGTGATGATCAGGGGGATGCAGGTCAAGGCAGGAAACGCAAGCGGGCTCCACCAAAGGATGATTTCAAAGACTCCTACGTATACAAGCAGCTAGATAAGGTGTAAGTCTCATCATTTCATAGCCTTTTAATAGCTGACTGACCTTTGAATAGTGCTCATAATCACCCTTTGGTCACTCGTCAGCACAACTACAGCTCAACAGCTCTTTCTTCGGCAGTCGCCGATCCATCTGTCACACTCACTGATCCAGAAGACCAAGGACAGAGTGATGAACAAGATGAGGGACGTCCTCGCATCAAGAAGAGACGTGGGACTGATGAGGAAGATGCCCTTGTCAACCAAGTGCTGAAGGATGTCGTTGAACGTAGTCAAGAGCGTGTAGAAATCGAGCGAAGGAAGGTGAGGTTGATGGAAGAGGAGGCTGAGCGCCAGAGAGAGAAGGACAGAATTGTGGAGGAGTCCAAGAAGGTGGAGACAGAGCTACGCCGCCTTGACACGCGCGAAGAGCAGATCATCAAGCACCAGACAGCACTAATTCAAGCAATGAATAGCAATGATGAGGATATCAAAATGAGCGCCAAGGAAAGATACAAATCACTCACAAAGGAGCTATCACTAATTCATGAACGACGCGATGCAATTTCCAAGTAGAATATTGGTTGTATCTACAATAAGCCTGAATCAAGTGCATGTTGAACAAGTTGTTTCCTTCTCAATAAACCTGCAGCACGTAGAACACTATCACTAGCTTGTCCACCTTCCTGAGACTCTACATCATTCACCTGCTGTGCTCCCAGTAACTCCACTTCCCCCTCAAAATCCTCCAAATCCTCCGCGTCATCACCAAAGTCGATGAGAATATTGTGGATAATAAGTAAAGCCTCAATCCCTTCACAAATATCTTTGAGATGTCGACCTGGGTAGCATCCAAGTGCTGGGAATCTCCCCTTCAGGCGTCCAAATGCATGCTCTACTGTGATTCGAACATGGGAGAACCACCTGTTCCACTTCTTTCGAATGGAACGAGTGGCTGGGTGATCAGTCAGCTCTGGGTGAGAGAAAGGTCGTATAGTGTGCTTTGTGAGAGGGTAGCCTAATGGTTATTAGGAATTATCCGACACATTGTAATAAAAGCACCTTTATCAGCTAGAATGTATTCAGATTCATCAAAGAAATCCTTCCTGGACCGCCAGAGTTCTGAGTTCTTGAAGACGCGTGAGTCATGTACAGCTCCAGGCCATCCTAAATCCCAGTCGATAAACTTCCCTTGGTCATTACAAACAGCCTGGAGTACAACCTGGTATAGTTAATTATCCTTTCTGAACGAGGGCTAGGGCACTCACAGCATAGAATCCTTTGCGAGAAAAATATGATGTCCCATTCTGAACTGGTCGCTCACTGAGTGGTATGAGACTCCCATCAATTATCCCAAGGCACCCAGGGAAACCCAAGTCACCAAA